TTTTACTCATTTTCATGCAAAAAAGTGATGTCCTCATGTACTCTGAGATATAACAGTTGGAAAGGGAGCAAAGAAATTGCAGCTTTTAGCCTTTTACTACCCGATTTTGTTGTCGCCTCTACATCCCACACCACGTCACCACCCCCTTCAAGAATAATATATTGCCTTCTCTCTCTCATGTGCGATCGAGAAGAATATTTGAGTGCGGCTTAGTCAAATAATAAGAAGCAGACAAATTACCTGATAATTAAGTGTTAATTTTGCCCGCATAAAACAATACCTGTAGGAGACTGGTTCTGATTTTCAACTTTAATAAAATATTGGGAAAATTCCCCATTCGTACCCTAATTGGTACGTTTTGAAAGTTTAGATATATTTTAAAGTTTGGGACACTAGACCCAAAATATAAAATACTAATCCAGAATTTTCCTTAAAACGTCACCGCAGGTTCAAAAATCCCAAACCTAATAGCTACTAAAGTACAAATTGCTCATTTTGGAGAATTTTAGGGATAAAAATATAGACCATGGCCTAGATTGCTTGGAAGAGAGGAAGGATAAGGACCATTTGATTTTTGTGGTAAGGATAAGGACCATGAGGTGATCTTCTCTGCCTGGCTCAGATAACTGACTAAATTTTAAGATTCAAAATGCTCAAACAAAAAAAAAAAAAAAAATTAAAAGTCCAATCCAGTCCACACACGACCTTGTGTTCCTGTCCATTTCGACATCTTTGTTTAGGGGCACCACAAAAGTTCAGCCTCTATTTTCTTGCGTCATTAGACAATTGCAAACCCTTTTTCTTTTTGGTAAAAGGAGTGTTAAGCTGATGAGAATTACATCAGAGAGGTCCATAGGACAGTAGTCAAGCAGCTGCGATGACCTCGCAGGATTTGCTACCTTGTGAGCCCACTAGCTTGTTGGATGACCTGAGGAATATGCTGCCACAGCCCACAGGAACTGCTCACATCCGCTAGCAGGGTCTTGATATCGGATAGACTTGGATGTTTAGAAAAAACAGCCCAGGGACCAGGGCTGTTATGAAGCTTTATGTGCATGATGACACGTTAGTATGGCATGAAATTGGATTTGCTCCTCACAACACCAACTTCAGGTGTTTACGATTTGGTTTGGAGATCTCAGATCAAACTAGTAAACTATGGTTTGAAAAAATTTTAGACCAAATCAAATCATTCTAGTAAAATCAAATCAGACCAAATCATTTTATTATGGTTTGAGCCATTTTATTGGGCTTAAAGCCCAAATAGCATGCTTACCTACATAAATATAATTCAAATATCAAATTGAAATGTTAACAAGTGTTACTTAATACCATTACATAAATTACATTCACACTTTCTCAAACATAAACAACTCATTTGGCATCAAATTACAAGTTATAAAAATTGAAACAAAGAACAATGTCGTATGAAATATTAAATGAATATATTTAAATATTTGTATTACATATATAATATGCATTAATAAATATATTATTAATAATTCAATTTAATATGATTTACAACTTGGTCTTGTTTCTAAAATTTAGAAAATCAAACCAAACAAAAAAAAAATACTGTTTGAGGAATTCCCAGACCAAGTCAGGCTAAACCAGACCAAACTGCCAATTACAGTTTGGTTAGATGCGATTTGGCAGCCTAGCCCATATAATGAACGTCCGTAAACTCACAGCATATTCATCCATGAATTGGGAACATCTCATGTACATTTATTTTGTCATTCAGGAAGATATTCCCGATACATGACTGTGATGTATCGGGTAAATTAGTATGAATATGGGGTAAATTAGTAATTACGATCAATATAATTTAATTCGAGGGTAAAAGACTTAAACCTCTCGTGATCTTTCACCTAAATACTAAAACCTCCCCTTATCTTTTTAAAATGGACTTAGGCCGCCCCTTTTGGGTAATTCATGGGGCAAAGACCTCTCCTCTAGCAATCTGTTTATATTTGATGTTATGTTCGGGTGAAATTTTTAGAAACCCAATTTTGCCCCTTTTTACATGTGAAAGCATATAGTATGAATAAGATCATCTTTTTTTTTTTTTCCTTTTTTTGCTAGGCAATTCAACCAAATCTAACTTACTAGTGCAGGAAAGAGAAATGAATACCAGAAATTCCAGGTTATAACCTAGGAATGATTACAAAATGCCAATGCAGAAGTCCCAGGTTTTAGATAAAGTACATGTATCTTGGTTTAGCAATGGTAAAGAAGAAAGAAAACAAGGAAAGACAAAAAGGAAGAAAAATGAGGGAGCCAAGACTTGTTCAATCAAGTTTCATGTTCAACGGTGTAATAGAAAACAAGGGAGAGAAGGAAAGAGAGAAAGGATGAAAAGAAATATATAAAAAGGATTAAAGAAATAAGAATAAAAAGAAGAACAAAAATAAAAAAGAAAGGGGGAGCGTTGGTTGATTGAACTCTGTTCAAAACAGAGGAGTTGCAGAAAGTTTAAATCTTAAACAACTTTCTAGTTTAATTACTAGGAAAAAAGAATTTATCAAGGGAATTTTTTCTTTTTATTTTCCAATTTCTTTCTTCTTCAAAACCTGTTAAATACTTCTTTTCTTGTAGCGGGCTTTTATTGGATTGTCTTTTCTATGTATCTCCATTCTTTGGTTTCCTATTATCTGTTTCTTTTCAATTTTCGCTAGATGATGATGAAATGAAATCATGGATAGGCATCTGGTGGTAGAAAAAAGAAAAAAAAGGTCCCAATAAACCATGAGAAACCGATAATGAAGTTAAGGACATTACAAATCTTGCTTGTAGATGAAAGCTAAGACAAGTAATATGGGCATGGATTTCACCGTGACGACTGGAGTTCAATTTCCAAACAACTATAAAAAGAGACCAAAGTCTCATTTTCCATTAGAGAGCTGGATTTCTCTTCTACATAAATTTTGTGTTAGTAGTATTTAAAGCCATTGTGTCCGTTGATTACGAGGAAAAATCAAACAAATGCCCAACATGATTTTTGACAAGATAAATTTGTTTTGAAGTTTTGAAGAATTATCAATGACAAATGATTGATTCCATTGGATATACAACTCTATTAAGAGAGGTTTTAGTCCATCTAAAAAGAAGAGAGGTTTCAGTATTTATGAAAAATATAAGGGGATGAAGTCCTTTACCCTAAAAATGGAGTACAGACGGGCTAATGTAGAATTCTGATTTCCACTGCAGAGTTATAAATATTCAAAATGTCAAAACCCCCCCATTCTATACATCAATATTTGCCTGTGAATTAACATCAATTCCAAACTGACACCCACCCCAACTGTACTTTGGGCCTAAAAATTCTGACCCTGTGCTGAACCATCATTCTCCCTAATTAAAAGGACAAATAAATAACTAATTGGGACTATGCATCACATGTAAGAAGCTTCAAAACGAGTTCAAATCAGCCCCCCCACAAAACGGTCCCCCATAACATCTCACAACACATCCCCGCCGTGTATTGAGAACATCTCCCGATACACGGAGGGGATGTTATGAGAACATCTCATAACATCAACATTCCTAGTATTATCATTGGGAGATGTTCCCAATACACGGAGGGGATGTTCTGTGGGATGTTGTGGGGGGCTGGTTCGGTCTCTTTCAAAACAGCCAAGCTTTTCTCCTGGATATCCATCCATATAGGAGCTAGCGGGGAAAATACACTGGTGCATTCAAGTTCAGATCTGTTGCCCACAGGCCACAGGACAAATCTGGATTTGCTCTCAACCAAATATGCTTCCAATTATCCGATACCACAAATCTCACACATGGTGTCTCACGGTGAGATGTGCAGTGTGAAATCATGTTAAAAGCATAATGGAACGGGTTTTGTTAGGAGTAGATTTCAACACTCACAATACACTACACTGTAGCTACACATTAGGAGCATCTCAGTTGGGACTTGGGAGCATCTCAGTTGTCCGGAGATGTCTTGTGGGATACATGTGGGGACTCCGGATCACCTGCCCACGTCTACCCACAATACACTACCCCTGTGAATTGGGAACATCTCCCCCTGCATAATAGTGTAATACTATGTAGGAGGATGAGATGTTCTCCCTGTGTGGCTGCAATGTTGTAACTTATAATCACCTGCATAAAATCTGACTTGAGGATATCGCGGTTCGGCTCAATCCTATGCATTTGGATTTGGTCCTCAAAGACTGCTCACACCGTGTTCACAGCTTATTGCAGTTGTGCATTGAGAATATCTCTCCATGAATAAAAACATACAAATACAGGGATATTCCCAATGCACAGCTGTAATAGGCTGTGAGAATGGTGTGAGTCAAGGTTCAAAGTATCAATACGTATCGTGCCAATGGCTTTCCGATACGCCCCTCCAGGGGTTGTATTAGGTCAGTCACTGGTTTAGAGAGTAGCCGGGCCTTAAACCAACCCCTCTGAACCAATTTCAAAAAAATAAATAAAATCTAAAAAAAGTATCGATACAGGCTGATACGCCAGTACGGCATATCAGCTTGTGTCAATACTTTGAACCTTGGTGTCACCATGGTTCTGTGAGGGACCAAATCTGATCTCTAATCCTATGCAGCCAGATGGTCAATGTTTAACCCCATAATCAGCACTGTTCGAACCAAGGATCTGCTGCTAACAAAACACTCCCAGCATTGTTCCAACAGCTCAGCTGCACATGAGAAACCGAGATCGGCTTCAGTCAGTGTAAGGCCTATTCGAACACTGTTCGAACAGTCTTTACAGCCTTGCATCCAGAACATCTCCGTACTTTTATGCTATATTTATGACGATATTATATTTCCAGTGGAAGGGTATAATGGGTGTTCGAACAGGTTTTGCAGTGATTGAACCCGGTTTCTGAGAAACCATTCATGGTAAAAGTTTCCAATGTACGACTGTCATAACTTGCTGGGACAATGTTTGGTAGCAGATGTAACTCCCAGGATCAATGCTAGCATTACAGCTAACAGTGAACCAGCCAATAGCCCCCTCCCCCCAAAGAGGCCTGGCTGTACACCACAATCTGCTGCGAATACATCCATGTATAACAAGCTGTAACGCCAATTTTCCGTGCATTACACGAGAGTCCCATGTGTATGGAAGCGTGCTCACTGGTGATTGGTTTTCATCGCCCGTTATGCACCCGTATTCGCACCAGATCCGGAGTCGCCCTGAAGCATTTGGCTCTAAGAAATTCCCCCACTTCATCAGAGCACGGGCTTGCCCTGACCGAAGCCGATTCACCTCATCAATAAGAAAAAGCTCCCACCACAATCTTGTATTCTTGGTTTATTACGCACCACCTGCAACAGTGTCAGTCTGTTCTGTTTATGGTGAGTAATACTCTAGCAAAATTCTACGTTTCACCAGATTCACTACTTCAATTACTGAGTCTCTTGGTCACAGATGACGCTATAATTATAAATATACCTGATTCCAGAAGAATATTACATAGAATCATTTGAACCAATGAGCTTCACTAAAAATATGTCCTACACAAAGCCTCCGCTCTCTGTAACCCATCTTAAAGGTCCTCCAACATGTAAACTAGTACACCACCATGGAGGTACTGACGGCCGGTTACTATCACTTGTCCATTGCAACCAACTGATTTAGTCATCTGATCAATGAAACTAAAATTTAGTTAACATCATGTCCCCTTTTCTTCAATCAAAAAAAAAAAGAATTAAGCACTTAATACAATGTTATGGGAAATAATTAGAGGTGTCCACGGTTCGGTTAACCGAACCATGGGCAGTTTTTGCAAATCGAACTGGTACCACCAGTTTTTCCATTTCCCCAGACCAAAACCAAACCGGTACCACCAGTTAACCGGTCCGCCAGTTTCAGTTTTTGACCGGTTTGATTCTTCAGTTTTTGACCGGTTTGATTCTTCAGTTTTTTGGTTTTTTATATTTATAATATATGTTATATAAATATATGTATAATATTATATTATAAATAATAAATGATATATAACATATTATAAATATTATAAAAATATATAATATATAATATATTTATAAATAGATTATTATAAATATAATATATGTATATGTTTATATATATAATGAATATATATAATATATACAAAATATGTGACATATATTAAAAATATATATACCGGTCAGCTCAGTTAACTGCCAGTTTTTTGTAGGTTAACCGAAAACCAAACTGGTCCTTCAATTTTTCAAAAATACCAAACTGAAACCGAACCAATCAGTTCAGTTAACAACATTTTCCGGTTCGGTTTTCTCGGTTCAGTTCAATTTTTTGGTTTTTCATGGACACCCCTAGAAATAACCAACCAAATTAACCAAACTGTAAAATCGAAAAGAAAAAATAAAAGAAAACATAAACTCGAATGGTAGGATCATTGGACCAGGCGACAGCCCACGTGTTAGAGAACAGGAGCATTACTTGGAAATCCCATAGTCATTTAGGATCAAATTCCATCTCCGCTTATGTAACACCAAGCAGAAGTAGGAGAATGCATGGACAAAGTAAATAATTTGCATGGTTAGAATTGTCTGAAAAGAGTGCCTCTGGCTGTAGAATATCACAGTCCTGTCACCATAGTACTTATGCTGTATGATAGCAAAACTACCGCAATTGATGCCATGAATGCAAATTCCTTACAAAATTAACAAAATTCAGTTGTTCTCTAAGAAAGTGGGCATATATAAAACAGACATGGCAAAACAAGAAAAATAAATAAAGTATTTACTCTAACAGAGAAAATAACTTATATATGCTTGCCACAACCTCACAGGTTTGTTGAAGGAACCCTCTAGAAACATTGGTGCAAAGAACCTTAATCTGCACTGTTGTCACCAACTAACAAACTTATATTCCACATTGGAAACTGCCTTCAAGCTCTGAAATTACAGGCTTCAGACATGACTATGTTCCATCACATGGTTCAACATCAATGCAAATGGTTACCAGCCAGAATTTCTATACCAAGTATATCCACAACTTACAGACAAACCACATGACTAGAAAGCAACTCTCAACCAGGGAAGGGGCCCAATGCACCTCACATACTATGCTAATTTTCAAGTCCTAAAAATCAACTTCTAAATTCCACTGTTGAAGTTAAAAGCCATACCGTTTCTTTATTTTGGAAATCAATAAGTATTATCTTGCAAACCTAAAAGGAGAGAAAATGCATCCTTGTCACCAGAGATATTGGTAGAGATGACCATAAACAAATATGAGTTCACTTCAAGCCCATCATAACATCATTAAGCAGTTCCCCTCAACCCAAAGTGTCATGGCAGCACTTGAGAAACTAACCCAACATAGGGAAACAACCAGCAGCTTAAGCATGTCCGAATTAACATACTCCATTGGCTCTGCAATCAGAAACTCCTAGGATTATAGTTTCCTGGAATTGTATCGGTTCTAGAGTAGCAATTAGGAAAAGAGTGTGAACGTATTAGATTTTACTTAAAAACGTGTGGAGAGAGATAAGGAAAATCTTTTAGGGTTCATCATCATCATCATCCAAGTCTTATCCCAACTATATGAGGTCGGCTACACGAATTCCATTTTGCCATTTCTGTTCTATTTAATGTCATATCCATTGTTAAATTACCGGTGCTTAAATCATTTCATACTACTTCTACCCATGTCCTTTTTGGTCTACCCCTAGCCCTTCTAGCCCCTTCAACTTGCAATAAATCACTTCATACGGGTGTTTTTGATGATCATCTATGCACATGACCAAACCATCTTAGTCTACTTTCTTTCATTTTATCACCTATTGCATCTACCCTAGGTTCCATCAAATGACTTCATTTCTGGTCCTATCATTTCTAGTTGTTCCACTCATCCATCTCAATGTACACATTTCTACCACACTCATTTTTCAGACATGTTGTTTCTTGACTTCCCAACTCTCTGCTCCATACAGCATAGCTGGCCTTACAACTGTCTTATAGAATTTTCCTTCTAATCTAAATGTATTCACTTATCACATAAAACTCTGGATGCACCCCTCCATTTTAACCTCCATAAATTATATTAATCAGCAACTATGGTTTGGTTTCCCTGCAAAACAAGAACAAGAAATAAATAATTCACAGAAAATATATTAGCATTCAAAGGTTGCACAGACTAAAAACAGCAATGTTTCAACACAAGAAAACTCAGTCATATTCAAGTAGATCAGTTAAAGTGATTTAAACCAACTAATAATAAATAGATAAAAACAATATATTTTATGTAAAGATAAGATGCAAGGTGATATCCCCTTGATCATGAACCGCATGCATGGAATGCATTAACTTAGTCACACTTCATTGTAAGGCTATGATTTCTCTAACATGAATATGACTCTTTTCTCCTAACTCTCAGTCTTCTTTTTGCTTATAACGTTAGCATTTGGAACCTGATAAGCCAAAAACATAATCTAGTCATTTACATACTATGCCTTAACTAAAAATCCCTTATTTTCAGGTCAGAGAATCACCGGTATTTTAAACCATTGAGACGCAAACAACTTCGGGAAACCTGCCGACATTGTAAAACGGCAAAAAACTTGGCAACAAGACAGTTAAGGCACCTCTCAATAAAGATAATGGGTAAATTTTAAATCATGACGTTCTGTACATAATAAAGGTAACTCGCCAATTTGTGTGCAGGTTAAAGATTTCTTAGATATCCAAAATCTTCGCCAAGTATTTGTTTTCTAAAACATGAAACTTTTAAAGCAGATGCATATACAAATGCTAATTGAACTAGTCCTACTATCAATTGAAGAATTCAAGCTACCTTCTTTTTTTGCGGTAATCTTGCAACTTGGAGGAGCAGAGTAACAGGCTTGAGGCCAGAGATTCATCACAGGTCTATTGATCGTGTAAGACAAGAGCAATAATGAAAGTTATTTTTTGAGGAATAGCGTTTCCAAGGGAATGTGATGCCCACATGGAAACCAAAGCAAGGGGGTCCACAAGTATGAATTTTGAAGTGGTTTGGCTGCTCAAGCTGCAAAACTGTCCAGAGTTCTGAAGATGCATTAATGATATTTGTACAGAAGAGTTAGTATATGAAGAAAAAAAGGAAAGAACATGGAAGAATAACAAGTATAGTCTCACTACTAGGTTTCAATCTTCAGGAAGTCTTACTACCTAAGAGAAGTGAAAAATTGGAATCTCACCATCACTAGGAAGAAGAATCATTTTCCTCCAAGCAACCTAGCTGCAAAGCTCAAATCTCAAAGCTTTTAATTTAATTTGGTAAAAGGGTTATATTGACCATTTATTGGAAAAACTAGGAAAGGATGCCCTAACTTAGGTAACAAGTTACTTATAAAAGGATAAACTAAGAAATATTTTCTTAGAGTATCATTCTACAATATTCCCTTTAGATTCTTCAGTAGTCGCCTTCAACTAGGTCATGAGTAAAAAATTTAACTATGGATTATGGATCTTGAGCTTTTGACTGCAGAATGGCAGAAATGGGCTTCTTCCTTGGGCTTAACACAAAAGTTTTCTCATGTTTGAGGCTCAAAGGCAATATAGGGGTCTTGTATGGGCATGGGCCTATAGCTGGGGACTTTACCCCACCCTTACTGCACCACAAGGCTCCATGAACTTATTTTCTAACAACATATGCCAGTTCAGGAAAATTGAAACTACATGAGGTAAGTTGTCCTTATAATGCATAGAGTTAGTTCAAAGGGGGCATTCACTCTCTATAGAAAGATGTAATGTAAGGAACCACTGGAATGATAGGCTATATGAGATCCCAAAACAAGTAGGTACCATAGATATTAATGCAACAGATTGAGAATGTCACAAGAGTTAGACTCATATGTCCTTTTTAGATATTATATTTTATTTCTTTTGCATTCTTGTGGCAACACCCTTATTGCAGGAGGGCACTGTCCTTTCTTTAGAGAGAGGCGTGGTCAATAAGCAACCATACTTTCCCCTGTCACATTGTTTATTGTTGTTCATGAGTATTTATTTTCTCCTACAATTGTCTATTTTTATATTCCTAGAATTCCAGTACCCCCTAAACCATGGTTTTCCATTCATCTATCACTCATGATTGTTATCTTGAATTCATTCATGCTTATATTATAAAATAGTATAAAGCTAACAAAGTGAGAAGTCAATACCCTGCCATGTGGTTGGAAGTTGATGTAAAATGTATTTTGGTGTGATCAAAGCCCTATGGTTCTTAAGGAGAAACAGAGGCAGAAAACATGGAGACTACTCATTCAAGTAATCTCCCAATTTCTTAGAGGAACCTCAAGGGGAAAAGGTTAATTATTATAGCTTGACAAGGTAGGAAATTTACCTAGTTATGAGAGAACAAGCTCTCCATTTGAAGATGGATCTATTTGTAATTGAGAACAGAAGATGGAAATAAGTAATTTCAAGATTTCAGAATGATCTCAATCTGCTCCTCCTTAAACACTAAAAATTAACCCTTTTTAGATGCTAGCCTCATCAAGAATGGAATTGGCAAAACAGGATTCATGTAGCCAACCCCATATAGCTAAGATAAAGCTTAGATGATGATGCTAGTTTCATCAATTTCAAATGCCATGAAAAGATAAACTGAAATGATCTCCCTTCATGTTCCGTCCAAACATGGATGTAAGTAAATAATCTCATCCTTCCAACAAAGTAATTCATATAAAACTTAGGAAAATTACTTCTGAAAACCTCAATTGTCCAAAGATCCATCTTCCAACATCTTTTTGATATCCACAACTCTTTTAAGTAGTGAGTGCAAGGGCATGTGCCATGCACATGTGAAAGTAGATAAAATGGAAAAGAATAAAAAAGATGAAAAAAACATTAACTTCTAATCTCTTTAATTGATTGATTAGATTTAAAGATTAAAATATTTGAAGAACTGCCATTTATTATAAGAAATAACCTTATATGATATGGTGCTACTAAAATTCTCTGATTTTAAGTTTTATGGCTGCACAAAAACCAAGGCAAGTATCTGCATTATATAGTATAGATGTTGCAAAGATCATTTATATTCACTGAAAATCATCCAAAACAAATACTTGAAAATCAAACTATAATCGTAGGAAAGTTGCTCAATTGCAGTTGACTGAAAGTCCATGTGAAGTTGAAATGCAATTTATAGATACTATCCTTGGCCTGTCAATCCCAGCCTTTTTCCTCTATTGAAGTTAAGAAACTCCCCTCCCATTTTACATTCAAAAACTACCTAGAAATTGACCTAGTCCTGGACCTCGGTATAAAACACTAAAGTGAGAGCGGAAAAACTGAGAATGTCAAATTTATTACTTTGTCATGCTTCTATCTAATAAAACCACATGAACATCATCATCAACAACAACAACAACAAAAAACTTTCTTTTATAATTCACCAGAACTTGGAATCATTTCATCAACTCAATGTCATAATCCACCATACAAGGACTGGTTTAGTGTCTGTTATGAACCTGATCCTCAGGCCACCCTCTCTGTTGGGTTTGCATAGACATCTGCACATTCCAAGTAATTCCTGAAATGTAAATAAAGGAGTTAGAATAGGGAGCACAAGTCCATTACAACTTCTACAAAAAGGGCATGAAATATTTTTTAAAGATGGTAAGAAACTTTTCTTTTAAAAGGGGAGGGAGAGCTTCCCTCTGAATCAAACTACAAAACAGTCCTTGCCAGTAGGTGCAGCATACTAAAACCTACAAACTCCTTATATAAATTGGTCCACTGGATGAGCAGCCTCTCCATTTTCCTAATTAATTCCTCTCTGGTTGAGACCATGATGACCAGAAAACAACAATAGGAACCGAACTCCAAAGAATAATACCCCCCTTTCCTTGAAAGATTTAGAGAGCCACAAAGCAAAATGAGTGCTCAAGTCTTTTGGAAAAGCTATAGGCATTCCAAAAAAATGTAAGAAATGCATCTGTTTCCTGTAGGTGAACTTGTAGTGAACCAGTAAATGCAGCACATATTCTTCCTCTTGATCACAAAGACTGCAAAGGTTGTCCAAAACTATGGCTCTGGATCTTGGGTAGTTGATGGTGAGGATTTTATCCATAACAAGAACAGCCTAGTGCACGAGGCTCCCACCAATGCGGGGTCTGGAGAGGGACAGATGTACGCAGCCTTACCACTGCACATACAGAGATGCTGTTCCCAAGATTTGAACCCTGGTCACCCAGGTCGCCATGGAGCAACCTAATCATTGCACCAAGGCCCACCCTCAGGATTTTATCCATAATAGCAGTATAAATAAAGAAAATGGTTTTGGATGGACATATAGGTTTCCATGTCCACTTCCATGCTACTGAAAAGCTGTTTGATTCATTCAAGTTTTTGAAGAAAGATCTGAGAATGAGGCAGATTTGAATGCATTCCACCACACCCAATCCTTAGATCCAAGCTGGAATTTTTTCGAGGAAAAGGTATCTAACATTAACCCAAAAAGGGGGAGGGGATATTGATAACTCTGTAGTTTGATGCTTTAAGGGCATCATTTCAGGGGTATTTTAGGCCTTAGAATAGTCAAAATGTCCCCTTTTCCCAATTAAATTCAATATTGTGACCTCTGAGGGTCTCTGTGCAAATCGTGGAAAAACTGGGGAAGTTTCAAGGCTGAAATGCAATTTTTGGGAAGCTGGTGTGAATTCCAGCTAAGAGAGGGGGTGTTTTTGTGAAAAACTGAGCACAGGAGGGCGCCTCTTATCTACTAAACCTAGAATGGCGCCCCTCCTACTGTATTAGCATACTCCCCTCTCCTTAGTAAACCCTAGGGTGCCTCTCCACTCATTCTTTTCATCTCTAACAAACCCTAGCCGCCCCTAACTGCTAAATCCTCACCTTCCATCCCTTCCTAACATCTAATCTCCACCC